GTGGTTGAGGTGTGTTTCTTGTAAACAGCAGAATGTTGGATCCTGTTTTTGTATCCAATCTCTTAGCCTGTGCCTTTTTATAGGTGAGTTGAGCCCATTAACATTAAGTGATATTAATGACCAGTGGTTGTTAACTCCGGTCACTTTTTTAGTAGTAGGGTTTTTGTGTTTCCCTTCTTTGAGTTTCGCTGGTGAAGGGTCTCTAGATGTCTGAGTTATTGTGGTCATTGTTGGACTCCTTGGTTAGTGATTTTCCTTCTATTATTTTCTGTAAGGCTGGATTTGTGGCTACGTATTGTTTAAATTTGTTTTTATCCTGGAAAATTTTGTTTTCTCCATTTATAGTGAACGAAAGCTTGGCTGGATATAGTAGTCTGGGCTTGCATCCATGGTCTCTTAGTTTTTACAGTACATCTATCCAGGACCTTCTGGCTTTCATGGTTTCCATATCGAAGTCAGGTGTAAGTCTGATAAGTTTACCTTTATAAGTAACTTGGCCTTTTTCCTTTGCGGCTCTTAATATTCTTTCTTTATTCTGTATATTTTGTGTTTTGATTATTATATGGCGAGGGGATGTTTTTTTTTTTTTTGATCCAGCCTATTTGGTGTTCTATATGCTTCTTGAACCTTCATAGGTACATCTTTCTTCAGGTTGGGAAAGTTTTCTTCTATAATTTTATTAAGTATATTTTCTGGACCGTTGAGCTGCACTTCTTCTTCTTCTACTCCAATTATTCTTAGGTTTGGTCTTTTTATTGTGTCCCATATTTCCTGAATGTTTTGTGATGAGAGTTTGTTGGACTTGCTGTTTTCTTTGATCAGTGCGTTTATTTTCTCTATGTTATCCTCAGAATCTGAGATTCTTTCTTCTATCTCTTGTATTCTGCTGGTTATGCTTGTTTCTGTAGTCTCTATTCGTTTACCTAGATTTTCCATGTCCAGCCGGCCCTCTGTTTGTGTTTTCTTCTTTGCCTCCATTTCAGTTTTCAAGTCATGAACTGTTTCCATTATCTGCTTGATTGTTTTTCCTTGGTTTCCTAGGGTATCATTCACTGATTTACTCAATTCCTCAAACTTTCTGTTACACTTCTCATCCATTTCTATAAGGGCGTTTTTTATATGCTGTTTAAGGGCCTCTATCACTTTCATTAAGTCAGTTTTTTCTACTTCTTCTTGATTAAGGTGTTCATGTCCTTCTGTTGTGAGGTCGCTGGGTTCTGGTGGTTTCATGTTGTTTTTCAGATTGTTGGGTGAATTCTTGCCTTGGCGCCTGCCCATCTTTTCCTCCGAATGCTCCCCTATGGATCTTCCTTTACAGGATCAGGTCTTCTTGCCCACTGATGTACCTTCCCAGTGATGTCACTCCCCAGTGATGTTTCTCCTTGTGTCCAGCACGGATCTCTGTGCTGCTTGGGTGGCTCGCAAACAAAGTGCCCACCTTGCTTGCTGCAGGCAGGCTATGGAGACAAAGGAGCTACCGCCCTTCCCTTTGCCCTCCCGATTTGGGTTCGGTCCCAGCGCCCAAGCAGGCTGAGCTGGGATGTGCTATGCCGCCAAAGAAGGGAGGGAGGGAAAGAGACGGGGGTGGGGGGATCTGGATGTAAGCTGGATGGGATAGGAAGAGAGAGGAGGTATTGCGCAGTATAGCCCCTGTAGGATGACCAGGAAGTGTTGGAGGGATGAGGAACGTCTGAGCTCCCTGTTCCTGGCTGCCGCAGCACTCACTCACCACAATGATGTTTCACCCAGTGCCCAGATCGAAACTCCATGCTGCTTGTGTAGCTTGCAAACAAAGGGCCCTCCCTGCTTGCTGCAGACAGGCTATGGAGACAAAGGAGCTACCACCCTCCCCTTTGCCCTCCCTATTCAGGTTTGGTCCCAGCGCCCGAGCAGGCTGAGCAGGGAGGTGCTATGCTGCCAAAGAAGGGAGGGAGGGAGGGAGGGAGACAGGGGGTGGGGGGATCTGGATGTAAGCTGGATGGGATAGGAAGAGAGAGGAGGTATCGGGCAGTATAGCCCCTGTAGGATGACCAGGAAGTGTAGGAGGGATGAGGAATGTCTGAGTTCCCTGTTCCCGGCTGCCGCAGCACTCACTCACCACAATGATGTTTCACCTCTTCTACATTTTTTTAAATCAGGAATGGATACTGAATTTTATCCAAAGTGTTTTCTGTATCTGTCGAAAAGATCATGTGATTTATGAGATTTATTGCATTTATTGACTTAGATATGTTGCATATTTAAGAATAAAACCAACTTCATTATGATTAATGGTCTTTCTGTATGTTATTTAATTTATTTTTAAAGTATCTTCTTGACATGTTCTGCATATATATTTATTAGAGAGATTGGTTTGTAATTTTATTTTTTGTCTTTCTAGTTTCAATCTGTTATTGGTCGATTTAAATTGTTTATCACATCACAGTTTATTTTTAGCTTTTCTAACTTAATGGAATATGTTTGTAAGGTACAACCTATGTTTTTTTTTTAAATCTCAGTGGTGTTTGTTGTAATGGCTCCCTTTTTATCTTTAATTTTATTAGTTGGAATCTTTTTTTTCTTTTAGTTTGTCTGAAGGTTTGACAATTTTGTTTATCTTTTCTAAGAAACAGTTCCCTGTTCTGTTGTTCCATGTTAATTTTTACTGTAGTCTTAGTGTTCTTTCCTCTAATGGCTTGGGGTTTGGCTTGTTGGTTATTCAGAACCCTAAATTATTTACTTGAGATCTCTTCTCTTATTTAATATGGGAAGTAAGAACTCCAAACTTTCCTTTTGGGCTGCTTTTATTGTGTCTTAGTAGGTCTTTATTGTGTTTTTGTTTTCATTCAGTTCGGGAAATTTCTTATTTTTTTCAAGGACTCATTCATCATTTAGTAAAATGGTGTTTAATTCCCATGAGTTATGTTCTAAGGTTGTTCTTACTATTGATTTATAGTTTTACTCCATTGTGACCATAGGATACCAGAAGATAGTTCAGTTTTCCTGTGTTTGTTGAGACTTGCTTTGTGGTCTAATATATGATCTTTTTTGACAACATTCCAAGGGATGCTGAGAAAAATTTATATTTTTGCATGGAATACATATTTCGCTGAAATAATCTAAAGGTATCTGCTAAGTCCACTTGATGTACGATTTCATTTAATGCAGATGTTCCTGATTGTTTTCTGTCTAGATGACTTGTCAGTAGACGAGAGGAGGATATTGAAGTCACCCACTACTATAGTGTTGGGGTTAATGTGTGCCTTTACATCTAGTAGCATTTGAGGAAATGGGTGTGCCTGTGCTTGTAACACATTTGTAAAGAATTACAGTGTTTTCTTGATAGTTAATTTCCTCAGTGACATGAAGTGGCCTTCTTTATCTTTCCTCTTAGTTTTGTAGTGAGCTGTGCTTTGTCTGATGTTACAGGAGTGACATCTGCTTTTCTCCTAGGTCCGTTTGCTTGGAACACCTTTTTATTTCCTTTTATCCTAAGTGTTTTTTTTTTTTTTTGTGGTGAAGTATTTTCTTAGAGGGAACAAAATGTTTCCTGCTTTTGATCCAATCTGCTTGTCTGTATCTTGGTTTGGAATATTGAGATCATTAATATTCAGAGCTCTTATTTAATGCTGTGCACTGATTCCTGTTATTTTGTTGATTTTTTTTATAGTGTTTTGTTTTTTTCCTTTCCTGGTGTGACTTGTTTCATGTGGATGGGTTGTTTGTTTGTTTGTTTTTAGTCTGGAACATTCCTTTAAAGTAACTTCTATAGAGAGATGACTTAATGGTTGTAAGTTCTGTTAGCCAGTTTTTATCATGGAAAGTTTACTTCTGCTTCTGCTGTGACAGATATCTCTGCTTGTTCTGGCAGCATTTGTGGGTTTGCAATTGACTTTTAAAACTTGAAGTGCATCTTTCTAGGACCTTCTACTTTTTCACTAAGTTTTAGTTGACAAATCTACTGTTATTTTGATGGATCTGCCTTTATGTGTAACTTCATGTATTTCTCTGCTACTTTTAGTATGCTTTCTTTGTTCTGTATATTTAGTATTTTAATTAGAATCCAAGGGGAAGTTCATTCTTGGCATCCTGAATACACACCCTCCTTATATGGATGGACATTTCTTTCATGATTATTTTGAAAAGTTTTGTGTGTTTTTAAAATAAAATTTTTCTCCTATGCCCCTGACCTTTCGACTTGGTCTTTTCATAGTATCACATGAGTCTTGGAATTCTCACGTGTACGTTTTTATTACCTTGGTTTTGTCCTTACTGAATTTTTCCAGTTCCTCCATCTTGTCTTTCGGCTCGGATATTTTTTCTCTCTTTCATCTATTCTGTTGGTGAAACTTTGTACAGAACTTTTAGTTATGACTTAATATTTTTCTTCAGTATCATTTTATTGACTTCTTTCATGCCACACATCATTATTCTTATTTTATTCAACTGTCTATATTCTTTATCTGCAGTAAATCTTTTTATGGGAACACTTTTTTCTTCTGGTTTTTCAAGACAGGGTTTCTCTGTGTAACACTCCTAGCTGTCCTAGAACTAGCTCTTGTACTCACAGAGATCTGCCTGTCTCTGCCTCCTGAGTGCTGGGATTAAAGGCTGTGCCACTACCGTCTGGTTTATGAGAACATTTTAATAGTAATAATTCTCAAAATAGCAGTAAATATAAGTTTATAAAATGTGGCTTATCATGAGAAGTTATATTTATTTGGAACTTTGTAAGAGTAAAATTTCATGAAACAATATTACCATTCAGAAGTAACGCAATTAAAAAAATCTTTGAAAAAAAAAATCTTTGTTCCTTCTGCTTGAATAGTTATGTACCGTATTTCTCCTTCAAGGTATTCACAGAACATTTGGAGATAAAAGGCTTTTTGTGAATTGATTAGTAGTTAATGAGTTAAGTTTGTGAAATTGTTAATATCCTCATTATGTGAGATGAGAAATATATTAGTATGTTTGTGACAAAATAAAATGTATCATTCTTTTTCTTTTTTCCTATTTAATAGGCATTTTTATTGCCAATTTGTGAAGCAGCAGCTATGAGAAAAGTGGTGAAAGTGTATCAAGAATGGATCCAACAAGAGGAGAAGCCTTTGTTTATGCAGGAGCCTGACGAACGTGTGCTCCCTTCTTCAGATATACCTTGTCTCGAAAACATTACAGACCAGAATATTTCAATAGAAGATGGAGAAAAAAGAGAAGAGGTAAAATGATAACTTATATATGTTTTAATGTAAGGTCAATAGATTAGAGTTTTTCAAAAGTATAATAATGTGATGATATGAATTTGTTTAGATAAAGGTTGCTTTCAGTATAATTTACGTTTTATATCACAGTATTTATCTCAGTACTCTTTTGCAAAGTTCTGTGATGTCACAATTTTATTTTATTTTTATTTTGATGCTATAATCTAAAAGCAAAAAATAAACAAGTAACAGCAAGGTTATGTTGTGTACATCAGGGCTTTGTAAACTTTTTTCACTGGCAGTAAGTTTTTATACAACACTATATATCAGCGTAAACAAAGGTACCTGAGATAAATAAGATGGCACTTGGGGGGCAGAGGCAGGCAGTCGCTTCTACATAGCAAGTTGCAGGCCAGCCAATGCTACATGGTCAAAAAAAGAAAAACAAAAGATATATGAATCATTCATTAAGAATAAATCATAAAGAAATTTATTTTTAAAGAGTTTGATATATATAATCTTATCATTTATTAAAAACAAAAACAAATTTCCACTCTAATAGACTGGATAGGAAAAGAAATAGACTTGACTGAGTATTTGATACTGGAGGACATGAGAATTTTCCTCATTTTTAATATTTAATGGATATTTTTGTTATAATCACCACTGCTAACTATGCCACTTTGTGTAAATATGTAGTGCAAAATATTGGAAGTTATCTCTCAGGCCATTTTAGAAATTTTGGAAGTTCTATCGTAATGTCAAGCTAATACTCATTTTTTAAAATTGCTGCTCAATTCAGCAACTTAACAACAATTTTTTAAAAAATCAAATATTCTGACACAGTTCAATCCAAAGAAATACTAATTTGATACTTCTATGCTGGGGAATGAAAAACATGAAAATATTAAGTCTTTGTTTCATAATTATGCCATTATATTTTCTAAAAGCAGGAAACTTGCATGTATAGTAAAAACACTGCAGTTCATAACACACTGTAGTCCTTAATCTGATCAACATTTATTGATGTTTTGTCGTGTGAAGACATGCTCAGTAGAAATTGTGTATATTGTGTATTCAGAGCCAGGGACTATAGTCCGTCCAGCCATGAAATGAATGAGCACAGGCCAGTGTGCCAGGAACAGCTTAGATTCATTATGTGTTTGATTGTAATTTTCTATTATACATTCACTGTTGCTAAATGGTTCACTTATCTGACGTTCATTTCTTAGCCTATGGTTAAGAAAATGTTGGGGTATATATCAGAGGTAGAGCCTGCTGTATTTTAAACATGTGCCAAATCAAAATTGCTACTAAAGGACATACATTGTGTGTTATGATTATCAAATTATTGTTCCTTTTCTCAAAATATTGCCTGCTTATACTGTGAATGGCTACCCATTACAAACTAGAATGTTTTGAATTCTTCTCTAGAGTCTTTTGCATTAGGGCTAACTGCAGAATTCAAAATTTTCCTGACATGATGAAATATATTGCTGGTGATAAGAAAGCCTAGAATTTATTCACAGAGCAGAAAGAAAAGGGAACAGAGGTAGAACTGGGTCACTGATTCTATTCATTCCTGAGACCTAAGCAAATTTTTGAATGTTCAACTCTTGTCATGTATCAGACTTTCTAGGACCTAGAAGCCAAGATGAAATTAGGAGTAAAAAAGACTGTCTGGCCAGGCATTGGTAGTGCACACCTTTAATCCCAGTACTCGGGAGGTAGAGGCAGGTGGATCTCTGTGAGTTTGAGGCCAGCCTGGTCTATAAAGCAAGTTCCAGGACAACTAGGGTTACGCAGAGAAACCCTGTCTCGAAAAAAAAGAAAAAAAAAAGCAGACTCTTTTTATCTGATTTGCTTTTCTATAGTCCAAAGTTTGAGGAGCAGGTTAATTAACCTCACCACTGGAGTTTAATCAGGATAAGGATGCATGAAGAATAGAGGGGTTCTTCATGGATTAATTGAGAGAGGGATTGTGGGTAGGGAATACAGAATCTGCCTAGAGAGCCTAGGATGGTCTTGAACTGTCAATGTTGGCTTAGTGTTTTGAATGATGCTCTTTATAAGATAAGGAAATGTTTAAGTAGTATTGCTGAGACAATGGTAGAAGCCTGATTAGCATTTATGAGACCTTGAGTTTTATCCCTAACTATCCCCAAAAAAGTAAATAAAAGAAAAAAGGACAAATGTAATTGTATTATATAAACTATTTTTTTGTTTGCTTGTTTTTGTTTGTTTGTTTGTTTTTGAGACAGGGTCTAATGTATTCCAGACTGGCGTCAGTCTCACTATATAACCTAGGGTGATTTTAAACTCTTGATCATACCTGTCTCCACTTCCCAAGTACTGGGATCACAAATATATACCACCAGGCCCATCAAAGTATATAAAATTAATCATAAAATTTGTGAAAGATAGTTCAAAGTACTGTTAGGTATTAGTAAGAAATGTCAGATATTTCAGTTATGGTAGAAAGTACACCTATCAGGCTAAATGATGTATTTTCCACCACCCTTTTAGTTATACTGTGCCTATGTACCTACCCTCCATCATTTATATAGTAATAGTATAATAAATATATACAGAATTAAAAACACAGGCTAGACATTTTGGTGTATGCTTTTAATTCCATCACTGAGGAGGCAGAGGTAGATGGATCTCTGTGAGTTTGAGACCAGTCTGATCTACATAGTTCCAGGACAGCCAAGAGCTACACAGTGTGAGACCTCATCTCAACAAGAACAAAAACAAACAAGCATGAAAACAAACAAGCACACAAAAGACCAATCAAACAAACCAAAAACCAAACTGCACCCAAAAAGCAAATAGAAGTAATGAGTGGGTTGAGGGAAGGTGAGTTGATAATACAGATATATTGATAGCTTCATCTTCTGTTGGTTATTCACATAAATATTGCCATTATCAGTGTGATTTTTTAAGAGCTAGTAGTTCTTGTAAGGATATTAACCCAAACAATATAGTCACTAATTGATTGACATCTGATTAGTTCAATATATATTACAATCGCATAAATTTTGGTGTTATAAAAATGAAATTATAGAGTCAGATAATTATGAATGGGTTTTTATTTTACATAGCATTTAACATGTTTGGAAGACACTAGGCTGTTTTTCTGTGAGTTTTTCGTACTTTCGTGCACCTTGTAGGACATTTCCTAGTGCATCTCTTTAAATTCCAGTGGCATTTTTCAATAAAGTACCCACAAAATGTTCAGAATGTCCTCTAAAGCACAGTATGTGTTATAAAACTGTTACTGCTGTGATCCTAGAGCGTGAAGGAGAACACTTTATACTCTGTAGGAAGGTGGTAATACCGTATGAACAGCCAACAGCCGGTGACTCAGTGGGAAAGGAGTCATAGAGTCTAAGTTGTAACTAATATGGCTGGAGTAGGTAGGAATGGGGAGTTTGTGGGGAAAAGGCTTGTCTTTATACTTACAGGTCATTTAGGAAGACTTCAGAAGACATATTGTCATAGAGATACAGAGAAAGGCTGGGCTAGAGCTTTGAGTGTTGTATTGACTCCTCACAGAGCTGAGTTCCCGGTCAGTTTCTATTTAGGACAGAGTATTAGATAAAACTTCCTATATGTTGTAGGTATAACACTGCTCAAGCTGTAAGAAGGCAGCTCTTTGGAACTATTGGTGACAGAGGACTAGGAGTGTCACTGTGGTAGAGTGCTTGCATACCATACGGAAGGCCCTGAGTTGGTTTCCTGCACCACAGAAGGGCAGGAGCAGGCATAGTGGCTTCTACTTGTAATTCTAAGCCCTTGGGAGACTGAAGCAGAGAGACTTAATAGTTCAAGGCCATATGGGCTACAGAATGAGACCCTGTCTGGGAGGGAGGAAGAAAAGGAGGTATTATTGATGAATATTCAAAAACAACAGTGGTGGGGGCGGGGTAGCTCGGTGGATTAAGTATCCACACAAGCACACTTGGATACAAGTACTTTTACACACCTGTGTACACACATGCACACAACACACATACACCTTACAACACTACAAAACAGGCTTTTACTTGAGGGAGCTTGTAGCCTGTACCTACCAGCACCAACTCAAGCAGAAAGCTTCAGTAGTAGTTGTCTGAAACAGTGCCTTTTGTTTTTAAGAATTTTACTGTTATTAAAAATCTGTTTTCTAGTTATTTAGATTTTGGCATTCAGTATAGAACAGAATTAATCTTTTATAAAGCAGTGAATAGTGTAATATGATTGTTGAATATGTGAGAATATACACAAATGACTCCATATATGATATGATATTAACTCTAGCTAGTCATTATCCATAATTTTTTCTGTTAAAATTTTTTATAGTGAATAGATATCACTTATTAGTTAAACCTTTTTTTATCTTTTGGTTTATTTTTATTATTTTTAGTTATGTATAGGTCAGCGTGTGTACATGTAGGTATGTGCACATGAGAGCAAGTGCTTTCAGAAGCCCCAGAGTCTTGTGGAGCTGGAGTTATAGAGAGTTGTAAGCCTGCTGATGTGGGTGCCAGGAACTAAACTCAGGTGCTCTGGAAGAGCAGTCAGTGCTCTTCACTGCTGAGTCATCTCTCCACCCCCTAAAACGATCTGTTTTGAAGGAAAGACTCAGTTTAATAGTGGGATCTAATAATTTCATACACATTTTATGTTACTGACTTGTTGCAGCATTCTCATTGATGAAATATTTGACATTTTGCTTCAGGAAAATGGGACCAATATTTCTGAGCATGTTCGAAATTCTAGTTGGACCAAAAATGGTTCTTATCAAGTTGCTTTTCATGCCTCTGAAGAAGCCACAGAACAAAATATTCAAGCTGGTACACAGGCAGTTTTGCAGGTGGGTAGCTTTATACTTACTGTTGTTTGTGTGTATATTTATAGTTCCTGGGATTGAACCCAGGGCTTTGTGGTATGCTAGGCAAGTTTTCTACCAATGAACTACATATCTAGCCCTTCAGCTTAAAAAAAAAAGTCATTAAATATTTCAAATGCCCATAGTTTGGTTTTCATATTATATTAAATTTATATATAAATAAAATTTATATATATACCACTCACATCTGTGAGTTATCACTATGCCATATTTGTCTTTCATAAAATAAATACTGACAAACATTACATAGTTCATAGATGGAAAAAGATGTTGAAATTCAATACTAATAAAGGAAAGGTAAACTGAACTAGGAAAATATAATTTTGTTTTTACATTTAGTGTGTGTATTGGGGGGTACAAGTGTGTGTTTGCCATGCGGAGGTCAGTAGATAACTTGAGCCAGTGTGTTCTCTTCTAACCATGTGTAAGCATGTGTATGCCAGAGATCAGACTTGAGTCATCAGACTTGGCAGCAAGGGCCTTGCCCACTAAACCATGTCACTAGCCTCAGAATTTTTAAAAAACAACATTTCACATCCTCTGTAGACAGTGAAGAACTACAATATGATAATTCATGTAATGGGCGAGTGTACAGAAATAGGAATCCATAAATGCTTCCTGAGTCTCCATCTGCACATCTCATCTGACTTGCTATGTGTTTCATTATGCTTTTCTCCCACTGTTAGATGTTTGCTCTTTTAAAGGATTTGCAGGAGTTTCTTATATTCCTTTTCTCCTTTTCCTTCTCATCAGTTTGTGCTTTTTTTAATGGTACTTAGTACAGCACCCAAGGCATAGGACATGATGCTTGAGCATCCTGTCACAGAGCTGTGCTCTCACCAATTCTTTTTTCTTGTCAAAACCACTTCTAACATCTATCTTGTTAAATCAAAAGTCCTTTTTTATTTTATTTTTATTTTTTTTAACTTTTTTTTTTATTGAGAAAAAAAAAACAAATTTCCTCCTCCTCCCAGCCTCCCATTTCCCTCCCCCTCCTCCCACCCTTCTCCCCCTCCCCCCACTCCTCTCCCCCTCCCTCTCCAGCCCAAAGAGCAGTCAGATTTCCCTGCTCTGTGGTAAGTCCTAGGTCCTCCCCCCTCCGTGCATTTCTAGGAAGGTGAACATCCAAACTGGCTAGGCTCCCACAAAGCCAGCACATTACGTAGGTTCAAAACCCCGTGCCATTGTCCTTGGGTTCTCATCAGCCCTCATTGTTCGCCATGCTCAGAGAGTCCAGTTTTATTTTTTTGAGGTAGAGTTGCACTGTATATACCAGATGGCCTCTAACTCCCAGAGATCCATCTGTCTCTGCTTTTGCAGCAATGTGGTTAAAGGTACACACATCTGTGTTTTACATTCTTACCTGACTGCTGGCCTAGTGAGGAGCATATGCAGGGAGAGGGTTGTTCTCCCTGAGACCCTCCCACACTGTCCTCAGAATAGCCTATCCTCCTGTTCTTTTCTCACCGACCGCTCTCTAGGTAGATGATTTCACATTGACTTTTTCGTGTCTCCCTGACTGTTCTCATGGAAGTACCTAGAACTGCGTACTTGATTATGACTATAGACCACTCATTTTAGAAATGTGCTTTTAATATGGATCCGTTTATTTGAGTGTTAATGAGCTTAAATATCATATGCCAAAATGGTAGTAGAAATAGGAGTATTAACTAATATATGGTGGTTTTAAATTTATTCTAGATCAGTACTTGTTTCTTTCTGTCTCTCTGTCTCTCATTCTGTGTGTGTGTGTGTGTGTGTGTGTGTGTGTGTGAGAGAGAGAGAGAGAGAGAGATAGATCAAGTCTTATTTTTAGAGGGGGGGGACAGAGAGACAGAGAGACAGAGAGAGACAGATAGATCAAGTCTTATTTTTTTATCCCAGACTGGCCTCACACCTTCAGCCTCCTTGTCATCTTTCTGAGTTCTGGGATTACAGATATTAACCCTGCATGCCAGTCTAATTTTTTTTCTTTAAATAAGAAATTTATCATTCAGTCAGATGTGTTGGCTCATGCCTATAATTTTGGCACTCAAGAGGCAACAGCAGCAGCAGCAGCAGCAGCAGCAGCAGCAGCAGCAGCAGCAGCAGGATTGCAACATATTCAGCTTATCTTGGTCTGTGTAGTTAGTTTCAGACCAACAGTGAGATCCTGTTCTAAAGAAACGAGAAAATGAAAACCACCATTGAAATGTCATTATGAATAATTAATGATTTCTCTTATTATAGGTGTTCATTATAAATTCATCAAATATATTTCTTCTTGAACCTGCGAATGAAATAAAAAATCTTTTGGATGAGCACACAGATATGTGTAAACGTATTCTTAACATTTATCGATACATGGTTGTGCAAGTATCAATGGACAAGAAGACCTGGTAACAATTCTTTATATAGTTATTGTTCTCTGTATAAGTATAGTAATTTTTCAAGGGATAATGTCTATGAATAGGGCATGTGACAATATTAGCGTGTTATTTCTGAATGAGTACAAATATTTATATACTAATTATGGTGACAGTAGACTGTCTCATTTTATTCCAAACATCCTTGATTAAGCTTCCATAAGACCCCTCGAACTATCTAAAGTATACGTATGTTGTAATTTCTTTCTCCTATGAATGAATGCATGCATTTCTATATATACAGAGAAATTAAATTTTGCTTGTGTTAAGTGATTGAAGATGTTAGTAGATGATTGACTGAACTTTTAAAGCCTATTTATTTACTGTGGCTTTCAAAGCCTTGTGTTAACAGGCCCCTTCCTGCTTTTTCCTTATGTTTGACTTCTTAAATTTAACTTACACCTTGCATCCTTCCCAGAATTGTCAAAGTGATCTTTCCTGAGCATGTTCTGAATTTTGCTTTAGAATGTCTACCATGTTTTCTGTGGTCACTAAAGGTGGTGGATTCCACCTTCCTCTTTCTTTATTTCTTTTCTATGTATTTTTCCCTCACTTCCTTTTATTCTAGATGGGCACTACTGTATAGTTCTCAAAATTGTCTGGATTCCTAAGTTACTTGTATTAATGTCTGTTTACTCATATGTGTTGGAGCCCACCACCAAGAATAATAGAGTTATCTTAATTTTGTATACTTACTTTACTTAGTGTAATACTATATACTTAGTCCTTTATGTACTTGGTGAGTTAAATAGAAAAGTAGACCTTTGAGGAAGAGCAGTTTTATTGCTTTTGTTAGAATAATGCTTATAATGGTTATAATACTTATGGTTATAATCAAAACAAGAAAAGTTAAAAAACAAAAAGGAAAGCCTAAAGTTCCCATATCCCATTCTCTTGAGGTGTTTGTCCTTTTGTATACATTTGACTCATTAGTTCACAATGCAATTGTATAGTAATAGAGCATGTGAAACATATTTTTGTTGTGTGGGTTTTTTTTTTTTCAGTATTAGGTACTGAACCATGGCCTTGCACATGCTAAGAAGTTCTCTAACACACAATTATATAGCTATATCCCTGGGTCCTTTTTTTTTTCTTTCTTTAAAATTTTATTTATTTATTTACTTACTTACTTTTTGACTTATTTTGTGGAAAGATCTTGCTATCTGTGAATTCCAGGCTGACTGGGCTTCTTGACTCTCCTGCCTTAGTCTCCTGAGTGTTGGGATTATGATTGTAAGCTACCACAACTTACTGATTTTGAGACAGGGTCTCATTAAGTTGTCCATCCTAGCTCAGGCAGGCCTTACATGTATGATCTTCCTGCCTCAGCCTCCTTAGTAGCTGGAAACACAAGCCTGTAACTATCCTAACCGACATCTATTAATGGGCACACACACACACACACACACACACACACATGTATGTATGTATGTATGCATGTATATGTATGTATATATATATACATACATATACATGCATACATACTTATTTTGGGGCAGGAGAGTATAGGACCTTACATTTTTTGAGTTATTTTTAACAAGTGGGAACACTTGGTTTAAGGGTGTGCTTAATTTATGTTTCCTTACTTAGAAGGAAATGGCTTTAAAGATTTATATGTGTATTAGTGTTTTTCCTACATGTTTATAACTACACTATGCCTAGGTTCTGTGGAGGCCAGAATAGGGCCTCCCTTCCTCGATCCCCTAGAATTGGAGTTAAAGAGCCTTGTGAGCTGCCATATAGTGCTGGAATTGAACCCGGCTCCTCTGCAAGAGCAGCCAGTGCTCTAACTGCTGGACCATCTCCCAGCACTCTAGCTACATTCTTTACTGAAGTCTATATAGAATTGCACGTAGAAATGCTTATTAACATATTTGGAACCCTTTGTGCTCCAGACATTTTCAAGCATTTCACATGCATTCTCATCACATTGTTCCTTAATAATGTGTGTCTCCTTGAGTTTGCCACAGGGGATTCAATGACTGGATTTTGTCTATGGAACTCATGATGAGTGATAAACAGAGTTTGCATTATAGTCTTTCTCCTTTTGAAAAGTATTCTATTTAAAAAACCAAACATGGATGTGTACACTGGTAATCCAACACTTGGGAGGCAGATGTGGGAGGATTGCAGAGTTGAGGCTCACCTGGGCTACATAGAGGTATACTCTCTCCAAAACAAAACCAGGAAATCATACCAAACTGAAGTATAGTTTTTTTCTTTACTTTCTTTAGTTTGCTTTGTTTTTCAAGACAGAGTTTCAGTGTATAGCCTTGACTGTCCTGGAACTCACTTTGTAGACCAGGCTGGTCTCAAACTCTTCAAGATCTGCATGCCTCTGCCTCCAGAGTGCTGAGATTAAAGGCATGTGCCACCACTGCCCATCATGAAGTATGCTTCTTTTGATCCTATGATTTTTTTTCTATAAGTTTCGAATCAATGATGAGCCAGGAATGTTGCCATGTGAAACACAGTTTTAGAGTTTATTTCAAAGTTTTAATTAAAAATTTAAATTTTATTTTTACATATATGAGTGTTTTTCCTGCACGTGTGCTTGGTGCTGCAAAGGCCCAGAAGAATGTACTGGATCTCCTTGGTCTGGGATTACAGGAGATGTGAGCCACCATGTGGGTGCAAGGAGTCGAATCTAGGTTCTCTGGAAGAGCAGCTCATGCTCTCCACTGCTGAGTCATCTCTCCAGCCCTCAGAGTTCTTTGAAATCCCTTTAAAGCTGAAGTCATAGTGCCTAAGGCAATATGAGTACACATATTTTTCATTGATTTTATGAGATTTTCTGTGCTAATTAAAGTTACTCTTTTTGTAGTATAAATTATGAGTCACCTTATATATGAATTAAAGTTAAGTAGTAAAGCCAAGCGGTGGTGGCGCATGCCTTTAATCCCAGCGCTTGGGAGGCAGAGGCAGGCGGATCTCTGAGTTCGAGACCAGCCTGGTCTATAAGAGCTAGTTCCAGGACAGGAACCAAAAAAGCTACAGAGAAACCCTGTCTCAAAAATCCAAAAAAAAAAAAAAAGTTAAGTAGTAAATAAGATGAGATTTATTTATAAACTGTGTTGTATGTAGTTAGATTTTCGTTTCATATAGCTAAGCTAGAAGCCTAAGGTAACAAATATTTAACTTAAAATTTTAATCTGTGGTGACCGTGTGGTCATAAGAATGGGAGAGCTGACCCTGACCCCCACAAGCTGCACCACTAGGGAGAGCATGTTCTGCACCTCACTTGGGCAACACAATGGCGCTAACCATGTTGGCAGAGGTATGGGTGAGCCCCCTGAAGTAGTGGGCAAGAGTGTGCTGTCCCCATCACCCATCACCCATCCGTCCTGTTGCAGCATGGGCAGGGACAGTTACCCCCCCCCCCATCAGTGCCTGAGGCAGATGCAAAACTGGCCCTGAGGTCACAAGAGCTGGAGAGCTGTCCCTGCTGCCCACCAGCTGCAACACTTGGGAGAGCAGGCCCTGCACAGTGTAGGTGAGCCAGCCTGAAGTTGTAAGCATGGGAGAGATGCCCCCATTACTCATCTGTCAAGTGGTGATGTGGGAGGGTGAGAGATGCTCCTCCTTACCCCTTGCCACCTGCAGCATATGAGACAGCTGACCTTATCAGCTACAGGACTCGGAAGAGTGGCCCCTGTTCCTCACCTGGACAACACACTAGAGCTGGCCCTAATGGTGTAGGAGTGAGAGGACCTATTCTGAGTGTGAAAGCAGGAGAACTGGCCCCACCCCTCACTCGTTGCTGCAAGAGGTGAATCAGTAGGGGCAGTACTAGAGAGCTCAACCTGGTGGTGAGGACAGGGGAGAACTGTAGGCAGACCAAGGGCCCAGAACCAGAGTTATGACTTGGCTGGCCCCCAATATCCACTCCGTCTGTGATTTGCTGGGGCATGTGAAGGGACCTGACTCACAGACCCAAAGTGTCAGGATCTCCATGACACAAGGCAACAACAGGATATCTAGGAAGAGTCCTAATGAGGGCCCACCAGCATCTTCAGTGTAGCAGAAACCAGAGGCCTCGAGCCCTAGCAATGACTTTTCACAATGCGTGGACAAAGGGTTTAGTGCATGACTCACTGTGTTACACTGCAGATTTCATGATGAGATTTTTAATTTTTTCCCTTTTTTCCCCTTTTGTCTCTTAAATTTGTTTTATTTTGGGAAGGGGTGAGTGCAAGTGTAGAGGGCAGATGCTAAGGGATGGAGAAATGAATGGGATCAAGATATATGATGTAAAATATGCATAGAATAAATATAAAGGAAGTTTTTAAAAAATTTAGAAAATAATTATAGAAAAATCTAAAAACAGATTTTATTCTCTGAGCAATGGCTGTGTGTTTTGTTTGCTTTTTTTTTTATGGTGTTGAGTCTTAGCTCACACACTATAGGCAGATGCTTTGCTATTGCCTCTAGCCTCAGGAAATTTTATTTTTATCTGATTGTTAATTTTCTATTTGATTCACTTCCTCCCTCCAAATGACATCTAGATCTGGGACATCTTACTGCTTTACCCACATTTCTTAACAGTGACCACCCTTAAAGCTGTGCCTAGATAGGGCCTGTACAATAGCTTCTGTGGTGGAGACTCTGATCGGGGCTTGGACTCTGGCTTGCCTCTATACTCAACTAAAACTCTCTTGTCAGTTTTCTTTCTTTCCTTTTCCTTCCTTCTTTTTTATTTACTTATTTATTTTTTTGGCAGACAAGGTCTTACTGTGGTCCTAAACATACCACCGTCCTGCCTCAGTCCCCTGAGGATTACAGGTGCATTCCACTATGCCTAGTTTTCAGCCTCATATGTCGGTATGTTGCTGAATTTGTTTCCAAATATCAGCTGTAGTTTTATGGTATCAGCAGGAAGCATCTAGAAGAATGAGTTTAAGGTAAAGACAATGTTAGAATTAGTTCCATTTCCAATACACATGTAGAACAAAAGACTGAAACAGTTGTTAAATGGGGCTCAACAGTTAAGAGCTCTTTATGCCCTTCCAGAGAACCTGAGTTCAGTTCCCAGCACCCACATTAGGGGGTCCACCACTGCTGGTAACTCCAGCTCCAGGGAATCTGATGCCTTCTAACTTCCTCAGGTGCCTGCACACATGTGACCTATACTCACACAGATACACCAGTAAACATATAAATGATTTTCTAAATCACTGAAACTAAAAGGGAGGAAAGGGTATGGTGGCAAGCTTCTGTATCCTAGGGACATGGAATCAGAGGGATTAGGAGTTCAAAGTCATCTTTGGCTATATAGGAATGTTGAAGCCAGCCTAGGTTTTATGAGACTCTGTCTCAAGAAACAAATGGGGAGGGGGAGTTGGGAGGAAGAGAATCAATATCCTTGCCTTTTCTTTTTTCCCAAGTGTTCATTATTAAAACCATACAACATAAAATTTGTACCGGAAGGCATTGTACCCTTAAGGGTTTCATGATAGCTTCATAAAGGCTTATAAACTTCAACTCTTAATTTTAATATTAAAGAATACTAAAAACTTGGTACTCTTTCAAAGATTTAGTATTTGAGTTATTCCAGTGGTAATGTTATTTTCACAACATATGGATATGAAAATTGATCAGTAACCCAAAGCAGGAAGAAACATTAATGGATCTTCTTTCTTTAAGGGAACAGATGCTGCTCGTGTTGCTCAGAGTCACGGAGTCTGTGCTGAAGATGTCATCACAAGCTTTTCTACAGTTCCAGGGGAAAAAAACCATGACCCTGGCAGGTCGACTTGCAGGACCACTTTTCCAGGCAATAAAAATAAATAGATAGCTAGAAGCGTGTTCGTTTTTAAAAAGATTCATTGAAGCTGAGCTTGTTAGTAGGGGAAAATGCTTTAAATCAGAAATCTGTTTAAGTATTTTTTATAGAGCTAAATTAAAAGCCGCTCAGCTGAATAGCCATGCACACAAATTCACCACATAATGGAAGAGAAATGTTGTGACGAAGAGTAATGGCCTTATTTTCCCTCCAGTGTGGTGCATGCTTATGATTTCAGAGAGCTAGCAAAGGGCTTCAGGAATAATACCTGAGTGTTTTATGAGTTTCTGAATTTCTGGGATCATTAAGGAAAACATTTTTCATTTTGTTCTGTAGTAATAAAAATGTAGTACATAACCAAGAGTCATTCTTGTGCTGCAGCCCCATAGACTTGTATTGTTCTCCTTCCTCGAGTTGATTTGATCAGTGGTACTTTTGATTATACAGGAATTGCATAGTTTTTCAACATGAAGGTAATGTACTGACTTTAAACTTACTGTAAACTCTGAAAACAGGAAATATTTTTATGGCGACACATTAAATAAAATTACATGGTTAAAATAATTCTTTATGTCAGAGGTAAAGACTATTTCCTATCTAATCCTTAACCATAAATGTAGCCATTTATAACTGGCAATTTTCAGCTCATAGTCACTACCTAAAAATCTCTGCTGATGGTAAATTAACTTTTAAAATAGAAATGTGTTATCTAAACTTTTAGAAAATTCTTCATTTTTATAACTAGTCCAATGATAGGAGCTACAAAAAGATACAAATTTAGCTTGCTGTGCAAAATAACTTTTTTTGAGGTTTGAACATTTAGAGACAGAACGAAAGGTCACTAGTCACTTCAGTGCTGTCTTTACATTTCATGTGTGAATTTATAATAATTCCTTAGCAAAATCCATGAAGTTACAGTTTTGAAAACTTTTTGTTACTTAATCATTAATATGATAAATATTTAGTAACAATTTATAAAACCTCAGGGGATACCAGATAACCAGTATTTTCTGCCCTCTAAAGTATAAACTTTTAATACTGTAATTGGATTTATTACAGAATGCTCTTAATTGCTGTTGTATCTTTAAAATAAAATGTAATTTTAACCTTTAGTTTGTGTACTATTTTTCAAGAATATTTCATTAAGTACATCTCTAGGACCCCCTCCTTTTTTGTAGTTGTAGTAGAAAAGCAAACCTCCACATTATAGTCATTTCCATCTTTAGTTTGGGAATGTCGTTTGAAGTTTTTCACTTAAGAACTCAATTTCAGCACAATTTCAACACTAAATAATACAGAACCATCTCTTACAGAAGTTTTACTTAGCAATAATGCAGTGCAACATAAAAGTTATGCCTTAATGTTACTGCGAATTAGTAGTTACCCAAAATTCTTATCAGGTATTAGTAATTGCATTAGTTGCTTGTACAACATATTCTGTGATAAATTTTTTTTTGGTTTTTAGATAAAAAGAATTGAATAGTTGATTTTGAAGTCACACTTCAAACAAATCTCATTGTTATTTTTGAATATTTGTCTTTGTAGACTCTCATTGTTGCCTGGATCAAAGCAAATCTAAATGTATACATCTCTCGAGAACTCTGGGATGACTTGCTGTCAGTGCTGTCGTCGTTGACCTATTGGGAGGAATTGGCCACTGAGTGGTCTCTGACCATGGAGACACTAACTAAAGTGTTAGCCAGGAATTTATATAGTTTGGATCTCAGTGATTTGCCATTGGATAAGCTGAGTGAACAGAAACAAAAAAAGCACAAAGGGAAAGGTAAGAGTTGTTCAAAGATTCTCCATAGCAGTCTGTTTAAATAATTGAGTTGGGGAAAACCAAGCCAGAAAGATTTTTTTTATTCTCCCTTCATTTATCCTGGAGGTTTAAAACTTCCAACAATAAAATTCAGAAATATATTGTTATTTTCTTAATCTTAAAATTAGTAAGATAAAGAATGTCATATATATGTGTGTATGTATGTTTGTATGTATATTTATATGTGCTATGGTCAGTCTTATATTTAACTAAAATTAAATAATATAGAATGTTAACTTTTATTTTAAATGATTAATGCAAGTCAAAATTTATAAACTGTATTTGCCTTTTAGTATTTTTGTAGTTTTTATGTAGAAATGAAAAGAAGACTTTCTTCTATGTTTAAAGTATAGAGTAATTACTTGGAAAATTCTCTTGAAAGCATTTTATTTTAAACTACAAGTAAACATTCTCTAGGTGTAAAATAGTATTTATGTAATATTAAAGTGAAGTGGGGGCAGTGGCATAATTATTATATTACTATCATGTCCTTGGCATTTTAAAAAATAAGTTGCCAGCTAGAAATTATACTTGTCATATTTTATATTTAGTCATGATAACTAAGTATATTTCCAAACTATTTTCCTGCACTTTTTATTTCTCAAGTGGCTGTTATTGGAGAATTTCAAAAACTGTCACTACAAGATGACTTTCCTTTAGGAAATTTCTTATCTCTAGATGTAGAGCATTATAATAGTTTATTGTTGATGAAATAATTAATATAATTTTGAAAATCTTCCTAAGTTCTGACTATGGTTTTTATGCAAAATAAAGTTAAAAAAATCTTTATAGTGACTTTCTAATGTATTGTGAGGCAACCTTAGAATCTGCAACAATGTATCCCTGATAATTTAAAGATGGCAACCAGGCAACCACTATTCTACATACTAATGCTGCGTTTCTAGGGGTTGGACATGAGTTTCAGAAGGTTTCAGTTGACAAGTCATTTTCTAGAGGATGGAGTCGTGATCAGCCTGGCCAAGCACCCATGAGACAAAGAAGTGCAACAACCACTGGCTCCCCAGGAACTGAAAAGGCAAGGAGTATAGTACGGCAAAAAACTGTTGGTATGTACTCTAAAATCATGGGATTAGACGAGCAGTACAGGGATAGATGCTATCTGCGTACGCTTTTTTCTTTGGGGAGATAAAAAACTTCTAGCACCTCCTTTCCCAGTAGTTTGCATAGTCCAGTAGCATGCCTATAAGCCTAATATATATACTCTTGTGTTTATGCAGTTTACTTCATTCTAGGATCCTTGTTTCCAAATTATATTTTATATTATTATATATATTATATATCCAAAATCTATATTTCATAGAATTCAAAAAGTAGAACTTGGATTCAACATGCAGAACTCAAGAATGAGCTGGTATATTTTTATTAAGTAATTATCTTCACAAATATGGAGATGTTGGCGAACTTTTATATAATAGAGAGGATTCTGCCAGAAATTCAAGGAGGGCTTATGCCATAAATTCTTTCTTACTCTTTTTTCTTACTAAATATCTAAGTAACCTTGGACAATTTGCTAAATCTTTCTAGGTTTTATATTTTAAAAATGGTCTTGTGTGCATGTGTGTGTGTGTGTGTGTGTATTTATGTGTGTTTGTGTGTGTTCCACTTTGTGCATAAAGAGGTCAGAGAAAAACTTTCTTGAGTTGGTTCTGTTTCCACCATGTAGGTCCCAGAATTTAATTCAGGTTGTCAGGCTTGGTGATTCACTGACCATCTAGGCTCCCCTTTCTAGGTTCTAAGTGCTTCATTTTTTTAGTGGTAGCGATACTACTTCTCCTACCTGAAACAGAATTGCATGATATTGTTTCAGGTTTCAAGTCCAGTAAACAAAAAGTAAATCATGAAAAGTTTTATGAAGAAAGGTACCTGCATAAAGTTGGAAAGTGCTTTGAAAGTTAGAGTTAAATTTTATTTGTTTGTTTCTTGCTTTCTGAGACAGGGTCTCACACTGTATCCTGGGCTGGCCTGAAACACTTTACCTCAAACTTTAGGTAATTTTGTCACAGCTTCTTGTGTACTGGGATTATAGATAAGAGCCACCATGACTGACTAATTTCTTAATTTTTAAAGTTAATGTTTTATGACCATGGTGAATTAATGTGCTTATTTAATTCAGTCTGAAACCCATGCATTCCATTAAGCCCTCCTAGCATCCTCTGCCCTGTCTTCACCGTTTACTTCACTAGAGGCAGACCTACCAGTTTCTTATACATTCTTCTGAAGACCTTTTATTCCCTTAGAGGCCTAACATGCATTGCCTATATACTGTGGTTAACCATGGATTTTATACGTTTGCATGGACAGAAAGTTAAATATTCAGTATTAATACACTGTTCTAAACATTAAGGATATAGTTAAGAACAAATACTTGATCTTGATTAAAAACCTAGGAAGTGATAAAGCAAATCAAAATTTAAAAACAGTCACTGGCACTTACAGTTTTAATGTTGAGCTTACAGATCCAGTCGACATAGCATGTAGTAGGAAATTGCAAAGAATGCAAGGCAAGGTCAAAGACTAGAGAATAGCAGGAGGGAGAGCAAGATTTAGATCAAGGTAGGCTTCTGTATTATACAATTTGAGAACGTAGATTTGAGGAAGCATACTTTGGAAGAATCTGTAGGAGATAGGAGATATATTCTGGGCAAAGGGAAAATGTAAAATCCCTGAAGCCAAGAGTTTTTTTTTTTTTCTGTTTCTTTTTGCCTCTGTCATTTGCACTGAATACTATGCAGTGCAGTTTAAGTACAGTGTTCTTACATAGCAGTGCCTATAAGTTCATATAGTCAATAGTTTCTAAACTGAAGCAGAAATTACTGAGAAGTTTAAGTTACTAGTTACTGCTATGGGAACTAAAAGTTTCTACCTTTGTGATCTAGTGACTCTTCTATCAAACTATCCAGTGCAACCAAAAGTACAGGTTTTGGAAAGTACCCAACAGTTTTTGTCTTTAAAAAGAGACTTTGAAGTTTTTATGTGTTTATTATTTGTATGAGCACAAATTGTATATTTTTCTTAAGAGCTTGGTGCTGTATTTGTTGTCATTGTGTGTTTGCTTTGCTTTTAGAGAGGGTATGTTGTGGACCAGGTTGATCTAGAACTCACTGTGTGGTTGGAAATGACTGTGAACTCCTGATCTTCCTCCTCTAACCACCCTAGTGCTGGGAGTACAGGTGTCCACCCATGTCCACTCAGGAATGTGATTCTTCATGTTGATGAGAGTTCTACTTTCTATAAATGTTTCTAATTAAAGCTTTAAAGTTGTACTATACCCTAGTGTAAGTGACAGACACTGGTTTGCTTAAGTTTTCTCTCACCTGGAACAACTACTAAACACAAGAGTACGTCATGACAAATCAAACTGCATAAAAGGACCTATTAGTAATTAGAAGGCTTTATTTGGGTAAGAATATGAAAATGGAATGATTTGCTAGTAGAATTTAGCTTTCTTAAAAAGAATTGCTCAGACAAATGACCAGCTAGGGTACCAGCCTTGTTTTGGACTAATAATATGGAGTATTTTTCAGTGATTCCATTTGATAGCTTTTTCATTTCTTGTTTTTTTTTTAAACGTGCTGAAGTGTCTGCTGTTTTTTTTTAATGCTGTTCCATTGTAATTGCTAATAGTAGGCATTTTCCTGCTTTACACCAAAAGAATTACATTCAAAATGTGTGTTGTGATTTCTTTTCTTACAGCTTGCCAGTATTTGCCGTGCTGAAATGTTTTTAATTTAAAGTTTCCTTCCTTTGGATCTTTTAGTTTTCTCTGTTGCTGCTTTTTCTGTGACACAGCCTTTCATTGTAGTCACTCTTCTTTTTTCCTCCCCACTTCTTTCTTTTCCTTTTTAAAGCCATGAGAAGCCGATCCATTGGTGAATGTGCTCTGCCATCGGCCTATATTCGCAGTGCTAAAAGTGCTCCTGTTCTGATCCATACTTCCAAACCCTTCTTGCCTGATATTGTTCTCACTCCCCTTTCTGATGAGCTTTCAGGTAGTGCCACCTCTGCTAATTTCTGCACCACCCTGTTCACTTTTTAATCCTCTGCTTTCCAATTTGCTTAATCAAATAAACTCTTCAAAAGTTAATTTCTTTGGGGGGAGGTATGGGAAATTGGAAAATAATTGAGAAATCAACATTTTGAGTTATTTGAACTATTCTTGCAGTTCATTCTGGAAGTGCTAAGTTTAGTGCTGTGCCAATGTCTTACATTTTTTATTGTAAAAGGTCAAGTTGTTACATTTGATTTTTTTCTTTCAGATGATTAAAAGATATAGTAATGAATACCTGTATCATAGATGTCTCATGACAGATAATAGACTTTGAATGTTTTATTGTTTTGATTAACAATATGGCAAATCTTAAATATTATTTCCTCCCTTCTGTATTTTTGGAACTAATTAAGTGTATATAATCACTAAAGAAAACATTTAATCTAATAGTTACTTTGTATTAGATAAAACACTATGTAGAAAGTCAAAGGATGCTCTCAAATCTCTTTAAGCCATTTCATGTAGCCCTAATTCCAAGGAACTTAAAAACCTCAGCTTTCCCTTTGGATTGGATCTTGATTATCAGTACCAGGATGGCATGCTCTTTTATTAAAACAGTTATCATTTAATAAAATGCATGTATTCAGTTCAGTGAGTCTGGAGAATTATACATATACCATCCACCCAAATAAAATATGGAACATTTCCACTGCCTTAAAATTTCCCTAGTTAGTCTATGCCAGTAACCACTCATCTCCACAGTGAGTGCTGTTTACTTCATCACCACAGTTAATATTGCCTTTAATTTATGTTGCTTATATATAAAATTATACAGTATCATATCTTTTGGACAGAAGCAAACTTGAGTATAGTTATTGTGAAAAATGTGGTATTTCAATGAACTTACCTGGGCATTATGAGGTACCTTTCCTAGAAGTTTGCTTAGGTGTTTCTGTGACATTGCTGGTTTTAAGAGGTACTGGCGTCTTTTGGTTTTGTGTGTGTGTGTAGGGTGTTTTTATCTTTTCTTTTTAAAGCCTATCTTAAGTTTAGTGGACTGAAAGATCTGTGCTAATGATATTTTAGTTAATTTTTCTTTCGTCTGTATTCTATCAAGATCAAATTTTCTTTTCTTTCTTTTTTTATTCTTTTGTTGTTTGTTTATGTTTTTGTTTTGAGACAGGGTTTCTCTGACCTGGAACTAGCTCTTGTAACCAGGCTGGCCTTGAACTCATAGAGTTCCACCTGCCTCTGCCTCCTGAGTGCTGGGATTAAAGGCATGTGCCACCACTGCCCGCCAAGATCAAATTTTCTTTTAAATTATCAGGGTTCCAATAATTGAGAATTACTTATATGTAAGTGCAGAAATGTCTAAATATATCTTATGTTTGATGCTTTGTGAAGAGTTATTAATGACAAAATATTTACATTTCTCAAATTGGAACAATAAAGCATTTTGTTATTAGATATATGCAATTTCTAGATAGAATATATAAGAATTACTTCTGAATAGTATTCTATACTGTTCTTGTTTTGAGTCAGGGTTTTACTTTGTAGCTCAAACTAATCTAAAACTACGTAGCTTAGGCTGGCCTACAATAATGATCCTCTTGCCTCAGCCTCCTAAGTTCTGGGATAGCATGCACAAACCATCATGCCCAATCTCATATTATGGTGTATTTGGAAAATATTCAAGTATTATTTTGAAACCATAATGTAATAAGTTAGAGCTAGTGTATAATTAAATTGGTATTTGAACTTGTAGTTAAATGCCAAAAGTAAAGTGGGCAATTTGGCCTTAATCCAAACCTTGATGACCCATAAGATTTTTTTGGTTTTTTTTTTTGGTTGGTTGGTAGGTTTTCCTACAGAGCACTGGCCGTCCTAGAACTCACTCTGTAGACCAGGCTGGCTTTGAACTCAAAGATCACCTGTCTTTGCCTCAGAGAGTGCCTGGATTAAAGATGTGAGCCACTGTGCCAGATGATCTATAACTATTTGATGAATACATCAGTAAAATTTAGGGCTTCAGTGCAGACTGTAGGACAGTTGGATGGTATATACCTGGAATAATATAACTTTATTTTTTTAAAATATTTATTTATTATGTATACAATATTCAATCTGTGTGTGTTTGCAGACCAGAAGAGGACAGCAGACCTCGTTACAGATGGTTGTGAGCCACCATGTGGTTGCCGGGAATTGAACTCATGACCTTTGGAAGAGCAGGCAATGCTCTTAACCACTGAGCCATCTCTCCAGCCCCCCTATATACTTTAATTCATGAGAGAAAGTGGTACATATTTCTCTTAAATGTGGCCCTTAGTTCTAAATAAATGAATAAATGAATATTTTGTCTTTGGCTATAAGTATTAGCCATAAAAATATGAATATTTTGCCTTTTCATTGCTCCTTCCAAATAACAAATATTTCTATGCAAACAGCACAGATTTTCATTTGTGTATGTGTTACTGTAATTGATTTCTTTAAATTAGCAAACAAGGCAAAGTTTCTGATAACGGAATTAGATACAATTCAAGAGAACCTCCTTGTTTATTGTAAACAGATAATTATTTTGCTCTAGGCTTTTAAAAGCAATCTACTTAAAATATTTTAAAATCTTAAAAAACACAATTTTTAATTATTTAGAAAAATTTAAAATAATTTTGGTCACTAATTCTTAACTTTTGGTTGGGTAAGATAGTCTCCTATTTTAAAAACTGTCAGTAAGTTTCTTTTTTGTTTTTAGAACCTTTGGGCTTTAGAAAATTTCTTGTCAGAAACTTTATATTTTGACAAATAATTATCGTAGGTGCTAAAATTTTTAAAAGCAGGAATTTTATTTAAACAAGAAGATGCTTGACTTGAAGGGAAAACTATCTAGAATTCACACCAGTTATTTGTGTACAATAAAGAAATAGGGATGGGGAAATTAAAAAAACAGAAATCTATACTTCAGCAGTCAGGATATTTTGGAACCATATTTCTGCTTGCTTGCTTGCTTGCTTTTAAATTTCTACTTTCTAATTGAGAATGTATTCTTTCATTTTTATTTTGTTTTGTTTGGTTTTGTTTTTTCAAGACAAGGTTTCTCTGTGTAACAGTCCTAGCTGTCCTGGAACTTGCTCTTTAGACCAGGTTGTCCTTGAACTCACTGAGATCTGCGTGCCTCTGCCTCCTGAGTGCTGGGATTAAAGACTTGTGCCACCACTGCATGGCAGGAATATATTCTTGGTCTATAACAACATGCTATAGTAAAGTAGCAGTCTCCTTGTTTATTAGACACCTCCTGTCTGCTGCTGGAACACACCAAGTTTATCTTCTGCCTCTATTTCCAGTTGCACAGGTGTGTTTATTACACTGATTGGTTGGTTATCCATCAAACCAATGTCTTAATGACAAGCCCTGTGATTCACAATAGGCTTTCATTGGTTCACTGAGAGGTGTTTGCTTCTTAAAGTGCACCCCAGAACTATCTGCCTACAACCTTCAAATTTATGTGATTATTGTTCTCAGTCTTGACTCCTTCTTTGGGTTTCTCATCTGCGATAATGGTTACTGGCATCTCCTCAGCTACTACTCCACAGAAGAGGCATCAGGTCTACCCTGAAGGAACACACAAACAGCACCAGAAGCAGCAGTAAAATGTGTTTTTAAATGCTAAAAGAAAAATGAAATATTTCCTCCTTACCCCTCAGATCAGGTGACCCTGTTGTTTGAGACAGTCTCATGTAGTGAAGGCTGGACTTGAACTCAGTATGCAGCCAAGGATGGTGTTAAATACCTGATCTTCCTGCCTCTGCTTCCCAAGCACTGGGCCCAGGCTATATTGTTCCTTTCCAAATATTCCAAGTGTTATCTTAAGTAGTATGAGATGTTTCTACTTCACAGTTCTTGCTTTGTTATTATATTTTAATAAGTAATAAAGATTACCCTTTAAAAATACCTTTAAATATTTATTGATAATATTTAAAGATTTTCTAAGGGCCATGTTTTTTTTTTTTTGATCTTCATTTTCCTCATTTGAGATAGAATGCCTTGTATGACAAATTTAAGTGTTTAGATAATATTGGTATACTAGTCACTGGAACAAAATATTTTATATCTTTCTTTCAAAATGTTGATTATTTATTTTTTTTAGACATGTTCTTAATATATATCACATGCTGACCTGGAACTCATGGCAATTCTCCCGCTTTAGCACCCTGAGAGATTACAGGCATGAGCTCTCTGTGCCCGATGTCCTTTTAGACAGTGCAGATTATCTCAAAAAGGACAATTTTTAAAAACACAATTCTCCAAAACCAGTTTGTCCATAAGATACTTTGCCACCAGTGTTTTATGAAAATGCACACACACACAATGTCAAAGTATAATTACTTTCAATTAGAAAGTAATTTTTCTCTTAGGACTCAAAAGAGGCAAGGCACACAACATTTTAATATAACAGCAAACCCTCATCTTCCTCAGAACTGATTTAAGATGAAGTCACCATGTGTAAGCTGGTGCACTCAACTGTTAGAATACTAAGATACAATGAGATTTAAAAAGGATCTGAATGAAGATTCATAGTGTCTGCTAACATACTGAAGGCTCCCCAAAAGTCTGTTAACACATAGAAACTGCAGAATTCAGTATTTTTCAAGTTTATTTCAGCATATACACCTTCTCTCACATTTTGACAGTTTAATATATAATAACATCAAGGTTCATAGAACACAAATTTAGAAGACACTGAACTAACCTTTAAATAAACACATGCACACTATGAAATCAGATGATTATATTTGTTTATATTGTAGGAATGTGAATTATTGCTTTATTTTTTGCATTGTAACTCATGGAAGTAGATTGATGGCTTGCAGTTTGTTTCTTCAGGGGGTAGGTGGAGAAGAGAGAAAAGATAGTTGTAGAGGTATGTAAAATTAGTGCTAAGTTATAAGCAAATCATGGCTTGAATCTTCAACCATTCCAATTGGTTAATTATTTATGTTTTTTTCA